ACAGCTACTTTAAAAATTATAAGCGACATTTTTAACAGACGCTGGGAAGCTGGGATGATGCTTTTGAGGGGCTCCTGGTTAGAGAAGGTTGCAGCCAGCTCTGGAAAAGCAACACTACCCCTTGTTACATAGCTATAGGCCATGTGTCCAGCGTCAACCGTAGATTCCAAATGCTGAAACGTACACAAAAATCTTTTGACACAAAACGTTAGCTTTACCGAAAGGAGAAACTGAGCAGCAGAGCAAGAAATGAAAGCAAGATTTTCCTGCTGGAACTTGTTTTTCATGTTTGTACTTTTCCAGGCTTTTGTAAATACATTAATTGCTAGTTTTGAATATCTCGGTCTCATTTTATACTGACACACAATTCTGGGAGTGTGGATGCTCTTAGATAGGGACAGCCTGAACAGAGACTGCTAGTCATTCCATCCTGCCCGATGAATTTAAAAAAGGGGGAATATCTTTGTAATTTGTCCTGGACTTTCGCCACTAATGCTGTCTTTTCAAAACACAGATAAACTGGGGGGAAAATATATATTTATTTAAGGCTCAAAAATCCCTGACTGCACTCACACATCATGTTTAGCCATTTTAAAGCCATCCTTTATGGAATAACCGACAATGATCTAGGCTTCATATCAGGTTAAATCATAAACCATGGTTTGCAAACCATTAACGCTTGGGTTCCTGCAGCACATGAAGTCCAAGCCATCCAGTGGCATGTTAGCTTAGCATGATGCACAAATCCAACTGTCAGTTAAGACCCAAAATCCTTTCGGATGACTATGGTTAATAAGTACCAAGGGACTGCCTTTCAAACATAATCCATGCACTGAAAGGCTGCCAAGGGAACAAGTTCTAGGCTTCAGAATGATTGCTGATCAATATTAAGATTGTTGGATTAGGTGATCCAGTTTAGAACAAAATGCTCAGCCAAGTTAATTCTTCCTGGCGCATAAATATCAAGACGGCGTCACAAGACCGAAGCCCTAAGTAAACTCCAGAGAATTAAAGTCAACTCACTCTCAAACAGTGCTGGGCCAATAATCAGGAGCCTTCAAACCGAACAGATGGGAATTCACATGCTTGAACACTCCTTTATCTGTATGCACAAGTCCTTCAAACATAGCAAGCTCATGAGTCAAGGTGAAGGGGTCAAGGCTCTGTTAACTAACAGGGAGGGTGGGGCAATCACTAACCCAGTGAGTATTTTGGGGGGCAGGTAACAGCAGAGTGGCAAGCAGAGGAAATGGACTGAACTAAGTGCAGTTCCTGATGCATTTACAGGTTGTCTTCAATCACAATTGAGACTGGACCCCCTGCTGCAGTCATTCAGTGTGTCATGATGCCTGATTTTATGACATTTTTACCATAGCAATAGCCCTTAGACTTATATACCGCTTCACAGTGCTTTTTACAGCCCTCTCTAAGCGGTTTACAGAGTCAGCCTCTTGCCCCCAACAATCTGGGTCCTCATTTTACCCACCTCGGAAGGATGGAAGGCTGAGTCAACCTTGAGCCGGTGAGATTCGAATACTGCATTCTAACCACTGCGCCGTCATGTAAGAGAATCACATGGCTGTTAAAGAAATCCACCACCACCACCACCCCCATTGTCAGAAGCCCCCTGGGAAGGTTGCAAATTTCTGATCCATCGGCAGGTAGTCCTCAACGTATGACAACTGCTTCTGTTGCTAAGTGGTACAGCTGAGTGAGTCATGCTGGGGGCGAAGTGAAGTGAATCACACGGTTGTTAAATGAATTCCAGCTTCCCCCGCTGACTTAGCTTGTGAGGTTGCAAATAGTGATCATGTCACACTGTAACCATTAAAAATACAATCTGGTTGCCAGGGTCCTTAATTCTGATAACATGAGCACAGGGGTGCTGCAATCATCATAAGGGTATAGTTGCGTTCACAAAAATTATCCTATTATATGACTCTCTTGGTTTTCAATCAATCAGAATAGAGCCGGAAGGGACCTTGGAGGTCTTCTAGTCCAGCCTCCTGCTCAAGCAGGAGACCCTATACCAGTGATGGCTAACCTTTTTGCCATCGCATGCCAGGAGAGGGGGGGGGTCATGTGCGTGCATGCCCACATCCATAATTCTATGCGCTCCGCGCAGGGGCATGACACCCCCCCCCGCTCCTGGCACGCAATGGCCTGGTAGGCCCATTTTTCTCTCTCACCAGGCTCCAGAGCCTTTCTAGGAGTCTGGGGAGGGCAACAATGGCCTTCCCCATCCCCCCGGAGGCCCTCTGGAGGCCAGAAACAGCCCATTTGCCAACTTCCAGTCCCACCAGAAGTTGGCAAACAGGCCGTTTCTGCAGTGGTGGGATTCAAGTATTTTAACAACCGGTTCTCTGCCCTAATGATTTCTTCCAACCACCAGTTTGCCAAACTGCTCAGAAAGTTAACAACCGGTTCTCCCGAAGTGGTGCGAACCGGCTGAATCCCACCACTGCGTTTCAGGCCTCCTGAGCTGAGCTCGTCTGCCCACCAATATGGCTATGTGTGCCATAGGTTCGCCATCACGGCCCTATACCATTTCAGACGCATGGCTGCTCAGTCTCTTAAACCTCCAGGGATGAAGTGCCTACAACTTCCAGAGGCATGTAATTCCACCAGTTAATTGACCTTGTTAGGAAGTTTCTCCTTAATTCCAGGTTGCTTCTCTCCTTGATTAATTTCCATCAAGGTTTTGACGTATGTTCTGTGAATCTAGCCAGCTGGAGGTTAATGTGAACCCTGGTGTACCACGATGGAGGCACCTACACAGGAATAAATTCCCTGGGTGGGGACCTTAATGCTGGTTTACTACTTTTTCCACTCGGTGCCCACCAGATGTGTAGATTGCTACTGTCTTATTATGGAAACTGACTTTCAAATATTATCTAGAGGGCATAAAACCATCTGGGCCATTTTCTACAAGTTTATAAATAAAGTCCCATTAATGGTTTAAAAAGCTACAGCCGTGTTCCAAGGTTCTCGATGAATCATAACTTATCTGACTTTAAAGGTTATAACCAGCACCTTCAATCAGTGTTGAGAAAAACGATTCATCCAAATTAATTATTTCTTAACAATTTTTTTTTTTCTAGAAAAACCATCTCCGTTAACAGAGCCAAGCGAAATACACTCAAGGGCAAAAGCCACAAGTGGGGAAGAAGTGTCCGCCCTCCCCCCACCAGGGTTAACTTTTTACTGAAACAAGATCTAAAGTATAAGTCTTGTTATCTATGGTTACATAAGGAAACCTGAGATTGCATCAGAAGAAAAGTAAATATCTACGGAATATGCAACTGCATTCTTATGCAAGGATCTGATCCAGAAGACGGGAGGTGGCTGTTTGCTTTTCCCTAGGGTGTTTATTCTCAAAGAACGAATCCTGCGTAATTGCCTAGCAAAAATATTACAGGGCAAGAAAACTGGGGTAAGTAAAGCCACCAAATTGGAAGCGAGAGAGGACACGGCCATCCCCGCCTTAATCCATGCAATGAAAGCAGCGCTGGGCTCTATCCAGGGGTGTCTTGACACAGGATTGATCAGAATAGAGCTGGAAAGGACCTTGGAGGTCTTCTAGTCCAGCCCTCTGCTCAAGCAAGAGACTCTACCATTTCAGACAAGTGGCTGTTCAGTCTCTTAAACCTCCAGTGATGAAGCCCCTACAACTTCTGAAGGCAAGCTGTTCCACAGGTTGATTGTCCTCACTGTTTTAGGAAGTTTCTCCTTCATTCCAGGTTGCTTCTCTCCTTGATTAATTTCCATCCATTCTTTCTTGTTTTGCCCTCTGGTGCTTTGGAAAATAAGTTGATCCCTCTCTTCTTTGTGGCAGCTCCTAAAATACTGGAATCCTGCTGTCATGTCCCCCCTAGTCCTTCTTTTCTCTAGACTGGCCATACCCAACTCTTCATATGTTTTGGGTTGAGCCATACCCAACCCAAAACATATGAAGAAGGGTTCATGCAACCCTTCTTTTTTTTTTTTTAAATTTGATTTATATGCCGCCCTTCTCCGAAGACTCAGGGCGGCTTACAATGTGCTCAGCAATAGCCTTCATCCTTTTGTATATTTATACAAAGTCAGCTTATTGCCCCCACAAACTGGGTCCTCATTTCACCTACCTTAGAAAGGATGGAAGGCTGAGTCAACCTTGAGCCTTGGCGAGATTCGAACCTGCAGTAATTGCAGACAGCTGGTCTTAATAACCAGCTTAATAACAGGGTGCCTTAAACCACTGTACTACCAAGGCTCTTCTTCATATGTTTTAGTCTCCAGACTAAATCATCTCAGCTGATTTTTTTGTTTTTTTAAAAGGATTTTGGGATGCAGAGGAGGGCTCAGTTCCCAAGGCAGAGGTAGAGGGAAAATCGCCTAAGAGACTCGGTCCCAGTGCCTGCAAGAGGCTGTCCAGCGACTCTCTCTAAGGAACCGAGGCCAGGGGTGTCCCCCAGATCGGCTCCCTCCTTGCCATGGAGGCTGCCTCTCCGGCCCGCCAGCCAACTTCGCCTGCCCCAATCAAGAGTGGCTCGAGGGGCGGCGGCCAGGACGACACTCGGGCTCTTCCCCACGCGATGCACATCTGGGGGCCTCCAAGTCGGAGTCCCGCGAGTATCGCCCACCGGGGGCAGTACGGGATTCGAAGCTCAGTCGTCTAAGGACGGCGCCAGGTTTGGGGAAAGGCATGACATGCCCTAAAAGCCTAGGTGCGCTCGGCTACTGCGGTTTTGCAAGCTACGGGACAGGGACTCGCGTATTGTGTGAGCGCGGTCACTCGGGGCTCGTTCCAGCAACCTGGGTTACCGCGATGTGCAAACAACCATCAAACCCTCCTCACATGGAAACCTTGTCCGGAACCCCCAAATTAAAGCCCATCCCAATAATAGATTCCCACCCAACTAAACCGCCCCCTCCCCCATGGAAACCTTGTCCGGAACCCCCAACTCCCAAATTAGAGCCCATCCCAATGATAGATTCCCACCCATCCAATTCCCAGCTACCTTCAGCAGCTCCTTCTCGATCTCGCCCGCTTTCAGGAGGATGGGCCCCCGCACCGCGTACTCCACCGCCTTGACCTGCGGGTTCATGGATTCTAACGTGAGGATCTTCTCGCGAGGCGCCTTCTCTTTCAGCTGCAGGGCGGGGGCTTCGGCGGCGGCGCTGCTCCAACCGGCCAGCCCAAGCCCAAACCGGGCTGGCCTCTCCGTTCCCATCGGCGGCTGGCCGACGCTGCGCGGGGCATTGACGGGGGGCCGTCGGCGGCGCGGCTCTTTGCCCGTGGCCAGCCAGGCGAGGAAGCGCACGGCCTCGGCTCGGCGCTCGGGGAGGCGAGGGGGAGTGACGGCGGCTTCCCTACTCAGCCCCGACAAGCGATGCATGGTGCCTTTAGAGAAGGAGACCAAAAAAAAAAAAGGGAGAAGGTTACGATCCACTCCTGATGCTGTTACCTCGTTGGGTCCTGAAACGTCTGCAGGAAATTCAAGCCCAGCTCAGAAAGTACCAAGGACCCCCTCATTTCTGCTGACGGCCAGGGGTTCGAGCCTCACCGACTCAAGGTGGGACTCAGCCTTCCATCGTTCCGAGGTCGGTAAAATGAGGACCCCAAATTGTTGGGGGCGATAGGCTGATTCTGTGTAAACCGCTTACCACAAGTGTAAAGCACTACGGAGCGGTGTAGAAATCTAAGTGCTATTATACCACGTCAACCCTGAGCTACAAAGCTTCTCCTTTACCGGGGAAGATTAAACCCGGGAAGGGGGAGGGAGGAGAAGCGACACGACCCCCGACCCTCCCTCTTCCCCCCCCCCACAACCCCAGCGCTCCAAAGGCGCTCTCCGCCCCACATCTCACCCGCACCAGCGTCCCGAGAGAAGCAGAGAAGATCTCGGCTTGCAAGCAGAGCTAGCAAGCGTACGCCCGGACGGCTCCGATGCTTCTTTCCAGCTCCGGCCCCTCCGCATGCAAAAATTTAAAAAGAAAGTGGGGGGGGGGGGGCAGAGGCGGTGCTGGCCGGACTTGCGCCCCACGGAGCTCTCTCCAATGAGCGGCCGGCCTGGTTGCCTTTGCAAACGATTCAGCGGCAAAAGCCGGCTCTTGGAAAGCCCATTGGGCCAGCCCTCCCACCTCCACCCCACGCCTGCTGGACCGCGGGGAACCGCCCAGGCGGCCGGTCCTCCCAACAGCTGGCCGTGGGGGAATTGCACCAGCCGAATACGCGCTGCCTGATGGGGCTTGTAGTTCCCCGGGGCCGCCTTGGCAGAGGAGGGGGGAGAGGAAACTACACTTCCCAGGATGCTCCCCGAGCAAGGGTGACGCGTGTCTTGGCTCTGGAGTGGGTGGGTGGGTGCAAGGGGAGGAGGAAGAGGAGGTTTCCTCTCCCCCCCACCACTCCTTTCCCCAAAGCGACCCCTCCCAAAGGAACCAGGCATTGAATGAAAAAAATAAACAAAAAACAAAAAAAAAAAGGCAATTTTGCACGTGAAAACACGTTTCCTGAATTTTGCAAAGCTTCGCAGCCAAAGATGCCCCGAGCGCAACCGTAGCGGAAGAGAATTATCGGTAGAAGCGCTGCAGAAGGAAATACGGTGGCGTGAGACGAGATCCCGGACTTTGCGCATTTCCAACGAAGGCTTTGGAGTTGCGAGCCTCGCAGGTTTTCTTAAGCGTCGGCCGCGCTGGAGACCGCTGGCGCAATTGAGCCGCAAAAGTTTATCAGGTTTACTTTTTAGCTTTTGTCTCGTTTCATTCAGCCCTGATGGTGAAAAAGGATGGATGAGTCAGTGTTTTTTTCTGCAGAATGGAGACGGTTGGGGGAATTTAGCAAACTTTGGTTCGGTTGACCACAAGTAGACACATTGTGCAAGGGATTCCTCTTAAAAGGACCGTGTGAATTTTTTTTTTTAAATTCGATTTATATGCCGCCCTTCTCCGGAGACTCAGGGCGGCTTACAATGCGTTAAGCAATAGCCTTCATACTTTTGTATATTTATACAAAGTCAGCTTATTGCCCCCACAAACTGGGTCCTCATTTAACCTACCTTAGAAAGGATGGAAGGCTGAGTCAACCTTGAGCCTGATGTGATTCGAACTTACAGTAATTGCAGACAGCTGGTGTTAATCACAGTGGTTTTAGTCTGCTGAGCTACCAGGCCCATCTGCAAAGATGAATTGTCCGCAAGGATGAAGGAACAGCGTTTAGGGGTCTCCAAATGAACAGATTCCTTTGAGGCTCGGTGTTTTTCCACTGAACTTTCTCGTGGAAAATAACCAACTTGATCAAATCATCAAGTTAAGTACATTTTATCTTAGTGGCTCTGTTTTCGCAAACGCTGATCCAGGATGAATTTACCCGGTTATTAGACTGACTCTATTTTCTGGCTTGCATCTGACATTAAACCAGTGGTGAAATCCAATTTTTTTTTACTACCGGTTCTGTGGGTGTGGTGTGGCAGGGGAAGGATACTGCAAAATCTCCAATCCCATCCCACTCTAGGGCCAACCAGAGATGGTATTTGCCACTTCTCCGAATTGCTCAAAATTTCCACGACTGGCTCTCCAGAACCTGTCAGAACCTGCTGGATTTCACCCCTGCATTAAACCATAAACTAGCCATATTTGACAGGAGAAGTTAGGCTGAAATATGGCCCTCTAATCCAAGGGTCTCCAACCTTGGCAACTTTAAGACTTGCAACTCCCAGAAGTCCTCAGCCAGCAAAGCTTTTGCTCTAGTCCAGTTTGTGGCTCGGTTGGAACGCAAGGGGTGACTTATTGCCGCAAAAGCAAATAAAGAATTTTGCACCACTTAGAAAGAAAAACTAAAAGTTAGCGTTTGCAAAACACACTGCTGTTTCGCTGGGTAAATGAGGAGTTATTCCAGCAAAGGACAATGTATTGGTGTATATCAGTGGTGGGTTGCCCCCGGTTCGCACCGGTTCTATAGAACCGGTGGGAGGCTCCGCCCACCGACTCTGACATCATCAAAATGCTTCTGCATATGCGCAGAAGAGCGTGTGTGTGTGAGAGCGAAGCGAGTGCATGCGCGCATGCGACCCCATTGCGAACCGGTAGTAAAGGTAAGTAGAACCCATCCCTGGTGTATATACACACATGGTAGAGTGAGGGGGGGGGAAGTCTTTGCTCTAAGAAAATGTAGACAAAAGCATGTGAGACCTTAAAATGTTTTTCACGGTTTCTGTGAAATTGTGTGGCTTAGTGTGTCAAGGAAGGAAACAAAAGGAGGAAGGCCTACTCTTCATAATAATAATAACTTTATTGTCATTGTACGTGTATACACATACCCATACAACGAAATTCATTTAACACCCAAAGACCAGGTCCAACACACATAACAATCCCCAAACACCCCCCATCCCCACCACAAATTCCCCACCCCTAAACCACCCAAACATCCACACAACAGACTAAGTAATGCTGTCCAACAGCTCACTGATGGTGGCCCTTTAGTTCATTGTTGAATGCAATTATAGTTCTGGGATAAAAACTATTCGGAAAAATGGTAAATAATCATAAGCAGTAAAACTACGGCATGATTCCTGTTTGAACCCAGGTGACACATTATCATCCATGCTCAATGTAACATGATATCTGAACCCAGAACATTGTTTAAATTTTAGTACTAGTTTACATTATTTAGAAAATACGTGTGTGTGTATTTATTTTAAAGATTTGTATGCCCTGCCTGCCATTCCCCCAATCTGAGGACCCAGATTGTTGGGGATAATATAATGACTCTGTAAACTGCTTAGAGAGTGCTGTAAAGCACTATGAAGCGGTAAATAAGTCTAAACGCTATTGCTATAACTCTGGGCATTCACAGCAGCAATAAAACCACTAACTATAAAACATAACCATCAAACAATAAAACAGCAAAACAGTAAAATGTGAGGCCTTCATCATCCCCTTAGGGTGCCCCATCAAGAATCTCCATTCCATTCTTTTTATCCCAATAGCCTTTATTGATTTATTGATTTAGAGTTTGCTACTTATTGAATATGTTGTTAAACGGCCTCCCATGTCACTATCTCTAAAGGTTATTAAACATGAAATGACTGAATTGTAGCAGTAAAATGCAATACATTAAAATACACAGTGGCTCTGTTAAAAAGGGAAGGGGAAAATAAAAACAAGAATATAGCATTCAAACAGGAAGTTCTGTGGCATCGTTGCTTTTTCCTTTTCCTGTGACATGAATGCAAAACCCAGTCACATCCGCCAGCAGCATGAGGTGATTGCAAAAAAAGAAAAAAAAGAAGTGCTTTAAGTTGCATCAACCAAAGGGTCACTTCCAAATTCCCAGGAAGGAATTTTCTTAATTTGATCAGGCCCCACTTCAAGTCCTGTGTTCAGATGCCTTTGGGATTCTGCAGCAAAAAGAGAAAAGCATATCTTAAGTCCAGGGAAGGGAAGTACCTGTAGTATTCAGAAGAGATTCAGGCTGCTGCTCCCTGATCCTGTGGTGTTTGAAAAGGAGGAAAGGAGTGTAATGTGTGAATAAGAACTTGGTACCCACATCACGCTAGGGTTTTCATTTTTTTTTCACACAATCAAGCTGCAACATCTGATTTGATCTCGATACGAACCAAGTCTTATTCACACAATATACTAAACCAGAAAGAGGTAGTACCCAAAAGATATAATAGTTAGGAAATATTGGTGGTGCATTTATAATATTCTGGTTTGTCTGACTATATGTTTCACTTTATGTTTTCATGTGTTTTGTAGAATATATTTCTCTTGGCTCCGTGAAACAATGTTTAAAATAGAAACCTTTGTTGATCCAGAAACCAAATGTTGTTAATTAAGCTAAGAGTTTGGTAACAATTTGTCATTTTTCCATTTGTAACATGTTGGGCTGCTTATTTCATTTTGCTTTATGCATTTCTTCCCTTGGAAAATACAATTGTGTATATTGCTGTAGTTAGCATGCTTAAACAATAATCCATCCGAGGATAGCTTAATTTTTAAAAAAATGTCAAGCTCACATTCCTAAGATCACAAACAGGCCCAGTCAGGCTTTTTATATTATTCTTATTCTGGAACCAAATACCCAGTTTTCATGTTTGTGCAATTTAGCTCAATGTTTTTGGCAACAGTTCCACTTAAAACAAAGGTAGTGTTTCTTTGCACGGCACGCCAAGAAAATATTCAGATGGCATGTGGTAACTTGCATCTAGTTAGGCCCAACGGAAGAGAAGCTATATAGGAGATATGCTTTATTTTTCAAGTACAAAGTTTAATTATGCCAGTAATCAGTTTTACCATTACTAAATAATTGATTGCTTAATATACCATCAAGTTGAAGCTAACAATTAGCAATTCAGCCATGTTGGTTGCTAGACTGGCTCTCTTTTCTGGATTCATCTGACCATAAACCATAAATTAACCATATTTATAGGAGAAGCTGGGTTAAAATGTCTTCTAATTTGTGGCTCGACCAGCTGGTGATTTCTTGCACCAAACACAGAATTTTGCACTACTTAAAGATAAACTTTAACACGGTGGCTCAGTGGCTAAGACACTGAGCTTGTTGATCGGAAGGTCGGCAGTTCAGCAGTTTGATTCCCTAGTGCCCTGTAACGGGGTGAGCTCCCGTGACTTGTCCCAACTTCTGCCAACCTACCAGTTCGAAAGCACGTCAAAAAGGCAAGTAGTAAAATAGGGACCACCTTTGGTGGGAAGGTAACAGCATTCCGTGCGCCTTTGGCATTTAGTCATGCCGGCCACATGACCACAGAGACGTCTTCAGACAGCGCTGGCTCTTCGGCTTTGAAACAGAGATGAGCACCGCCCCCTAGAGTCGGGAACGACTAGCACATATGTGCGAGGGGAACCTTTACCTTTAAAGATAAACTTGTGCTAGAGTTTGCTTTCCCAATCTGATCTTCCAATAGCGAACCCATTGTGAACCCATATTCAAGTCCATTCATCTTGTGCTGGTTGTCTTCTCCAATTTCCTTCCACCTTTCTCAGGATTATAGACATCTCAAGAAGACTGTGTCTTTACATAATGTGTCCAAGATAGGATAAGGTTGTTCCCGATTGACTTTGCTTTGTCAGAAGGTCGCAAAAGGTGATCACATGGCCCCAAGACACTGCAGCCGTCGTAAATGCAGGCTGTCATGTTGTAAGTGTGAAAAATGGTCATAACTCGCTTTTTTCAGTGCTGTTGTAACTTTGAACGGTCAGTAAACAAACTGTTGTAAGTTGAGGACTACCTATATCAGCGATGGCTAACCTTTTTGCCATTGCATGCAAGGAGCTGGAGGGGGGAGGGGTGTCGTACATGTGTGTGCTCACACCCATAATTCTATGCACCCCACACCTGTGTATGCGTGCATGACCCCCCCCACTCCCCCCGCTCCTGGCACGCAATGGCACAGTAGGCCTGTTTCTCTCTCTCCCCAGCCTCCAGAGCCTTTCTAGGAGTCTGGGGAGGGCAAAAACGGCCCCCCCCCCCCCCCCCGAGGCCCTCCGGAGGCTGAAAACAGCCTGTTTGCCAACTTCCGGGGATGTGTGCTGGAGCTGAGCTTGCGTGCCCACTGATATGGGGTACGTGTGCCATAGGTTCACCATCACGGACCTATATCTTCATTATTTGCTCTAAGGCTGGTGGCTGTACAGTACCTGTTTTCATTAGTTTCGTCTTTATAATTTTAGTCTCTTTTTTTCCACTAAGCTCTTGGACTTATTACTAGAGTTCAGAAATGAATTGTAAAAATGAAACAAAGCATATCATGGTTTAACATGAGGTAGAATTTCAAAATTGAGAGTAGCTCTGATAATCAAGTACCCCTCTCTTCATGTCAGTGATGTTGATAGGAGCTATAACTGAACATAACTGCTAGATTAAAGGCAGATGGAGCAAGTAATTCTATCATTGGAGGGCATTAGAAACAGCTGTTAAAATGCTTATGCCTTCCAAGTTTAAGCATTTCTTTGTCATTCCTGCAACATTGGTTCTTTTATTGAGAAAACTATATTTAAAATGTATGGAGGGAAGGAGGAAATCAAATGATAATGCTGATCCAGAATTTTTCAGCAACAAAGAAGACCTAGCGCATAAGACAGAAAGTTAAAATGACACCCTATTTGCATAAATCCAGAATGAAAATTTTAAAGCATTGTGATTCACTGGCCTTTAGTGTTGCTGAAATCTATGTTAAATGACAATTAGCTTCCAAAACTAGTTTTCAGACATCCATGGATAGACAGTTGGAAGTGATGTAATATTATTAGCGTGTCTGTGAACTGGCTAAAACAATATCCATTATGAAATGAATATATGGAGATTTATGGAGAGCAAAAGAGAAAATTCAAGCGAAAGGCTATGATCCTGTTAAGCATAAATCATTAGTATTGGGAAACAGCAACAGACTAATAGATTGGCTGCTCCCAAAGGATATGAATGGATCTATGGATCTATTTAGGGGGGAAAAAATCTAATGTGATTTATAGGATTTTTCTTTAATGTGTATGTAATTAATCATGGGAAAATCACATTAGCGTTGTAAGAAATGCATTAACTGGGACTAAGAGGAAAGAAATATAACCTTCATGTATTTATTCTTGGCATATTCATTGTAAATACTTCTGCCTTTAGTTTTTATTCCTTGTGGTTTGGTAGCATCTTAATTCTGCATGGTCTGGGAGTTCGTATTTGATAAACATGACTAATATTTTCAAATTCAGTTATGATTTGTTTACATTTTTTTTTACCTCTGCCCTAAAGTTTTCGGCAACCTGTGAATTTCCTTCATTTTTGCTTATTACAACATGCATTTTATAAAGCAGCTGGAAAGAGAGGTTAATGTGTAAAAGTTACTGTCCTTGAGTAACACTGTACTTGTTTTCACTGAGTAGAAAACTGTCACAGTAGACTCTTCTCTTGTAAGGACTTTGGGAAACAAAATTGAACTCTTGAAGCACATAGACCAGTAGAGCATCTGCATGGATGAAGAACTGTGGGGAGTGGTGCACAAAAAGGCAAGATTAAACTTGCTTTAACATTTTTTCCTTTGGAATGTTCTGCTCATTTCAATGAGGCAATTCAGAT